ATCTGCCCCGATGAGACAGCAATTTTTGATGAGTCATCTATGACGACGAGATGTGTTGATGTGACTTTCTAATATGATTTGACCAAAAAAATCTAGGTATTATTACGTGGCATTTAATTTGAGGATCAACTGTACCAGAAAAAACTATGTTACACATTTGCACCACAAATAGAAAACCCCAGAAAAAGAGTAGCTTCTTTTTAATTTAACAAATAGACGTATAAAAAAGGTTAAAGCTATGTGTTCTCTTTCTTCATTTTTCTCTTCTTTCTCTCTTTTAGATTAAGGCAAAAAAACTGAGAGTTTTGTAACTCCTAAATCATTTATTATTTGAGAAAAAAAGAAGAAGAGAAAAATAGTTAGTAAGAAAGTAAGAGTTGATATATAGTTAAAGAAATTAAAATCATGGGGTGTTTTCCTTGTTCTGGAGATGGAGATACATCAGTGAAGAAACCAGAGAAAAAGATATTTCAAACAAGTAGTAATCATAAATACAAAAGGGTTGAGCAGCCACTGCCTAAACAAGGTATTTATATAATGGGATTATTTACAAATGGTTTGGTGAAATTTTGATGGTTTTTTTTTTGGATTTGGAAAGATTGTTCTTTTTTTGTATATTTGGAAAATTTCAATGTGGGGTTGTTGGAATTTGATCATATTTTGAATTTTCCAAAACCAACTTTTGTTTTTGTGTCCTGTTTTATGGATCTTGAATTATTATCGTTGCATGCATCTACGATTTTTTAAATCTTTTTGGATATAGATAATGCCATAATGGTTTGATGAAAGATTTTATGGTTCTTTTCCATAAATGTTTTTGGTATATTAAGGCAATTTTCCATAAGAAAAAATGACTTTCCATCGTACCAAACATACATAATTGCTAATTTCTTTTTAAATTCTTGGGAACTCTCACCTTTTTGCTCTTTTGGTGACTCGAACCTACAAACACTTAATATTGGTGGTGGAGGATGTGTAGCATCTGAGCAACATCCTCTTGTCTTCCTTACTGCTCTGAATTTCGTTTCAGGTTCTTTTTTCTTTTTGCGAATTTTTTTTATAGGAGAAGGGGAAATGGGAGAGGGGATTATAACATGGGCGAATAGAATCCTCACCAACAAGGTGAAAGTTCATGTAGCCACCATCCGAGCTACTAATATCCCCTGGTTTCACGTTAGCAAATTATGTCTGTCATTTTTTATGTGGCTCTTTTCTTTGTTTCATATTTACAGGGGTTTGAAACTTTTGATGGTTTTTTTGAGATGTTCATGGAAGAATTAAGTTTTTTTTACTGATAAGGAGGAGGTTGAATATTCTGATTCAGGGTGTTGTCTAGTGTAGCAGATTGACAACAATTTGAGAACATCATTTCTTGGTTCTTTGAACTTTTCTAAGTATATGTTTGATTTTTACAGAAATTTTGATGCTTTCTGTGTTTGCTGCTTTCTGTGTTTGCTTCTTTACGTACTGCAAAATTTGGGTATCTTGCTGGAAATCAGTATTTTAGCCGTTTACTATCCATGTGCTCTTTCATTCTTTTCTCCCCTCCTTCAAATGAGGCCTCCTTTATTTAAACTCGCATCCTTTTGGTGCCTCTTGTTTTTATCTTGTTCAGTAGTTACGCCGGTGGCTAGTCAATTTAAAGCTGTAAAGAATGAAGAGGCTAAAATTGCAAACCGATCTACATCTAAGAAAGATGGAGGTTATAGTAACATCCCTCAGACAGATGGAAAAACAGGTGGTGCTAAGGCACAGAGGTTTAAATTCGATCAATTAATAGCTGCAACAGAAGATTTCAAGGAAGATTACTTCTTGGGAGAAGGAGGTTTTGGCAAAGTATATAAAGGTCATTTGGTGGATACTGGTGAGGTCAGCTCGACGCCATTCTTGTCGTAATACTTATCATTCTCCCTTACCTTAAAGTCTTCAATACACAACAGGATTGTTTGAATATCTCTCCTCCTTTTATGAACTTATATCCCCTCCCATCTTTGCAGAGTCATTTGAAGTAAGTGAGTGGTTTAGCATTAGGTATAGTTGGTGGCCTGAATCTGTTTATCTTTTATATTTCTTTTCCAATGCAGATTGTAGCCATCAAACAACTTGATCCAAATGGATGCCAAGGAGTTAGGGAATTTGTTGTTGAAGTACAGACACTAAGTAAGGCTGACCATGCTAATCTTGTTAAACTAATTGGTTGTTGTGCTGAGGGAGATCAGAGGCTATTAGTCTATGAGTATATGTCTCTTGGTTCGTTGGAAGACCATTTGTTTGGTATGTTATAATTGCCTACTTTTCATGTTACTTTATTCCAATCTTAGCTTCCTCCATCCTGAGAAACATGCTTATTTCTTTCGATTCCTTTGTTTCTTTCAATGTGTGCAGACCCCTGGCCAAATCAAAAACCTCTTGATTGGAACATTAGAATGAAGATAGCTGCAGGTGCCGCAAGGGGCCTGGAATATTTACATGACAAGATGAATCCTCCAATTATTTACCGTGATCTGAAATGCTCCAATATTCTACTTGGTGAGGAGTTCCACCCTAAGTTATCTGATTTTGGCTTGGCTAAAGTAGGTCCTAGTGGAGACAAGACCCATGTTTCCACCAGAGTGATGGGCACATATGGATACTGTGCACCAGATTATGCTATGACTGGCCAACTGACATTCAAGTCAGATATCTACAGCTTTGGGGTTGTTCTTCTGGAGATAATCACAGGCAGGAGAGCGATTGACTATACAAAATCTGCTGCGGAGCAAAATCTGGTTTCTTGGGTATGTTCCTTTGATCTCTTATTGTTGCCATGTTATATATTTTTGTCGTTATGCTCTGGTAAGACCTGATTTATCCTTACCTCCTAGCTACTGAAGTTAACCATCATTCTCATTTCTGCACCTAAATGGATCCAAGAAATGGATGTCACTTAACTACTTCCAATATTGTTTTTTGAACAAGTCTTTAGTCATTGTTTATCAGATTGGAGGATGTCTGTGGTTTTAAATATATAGTTTTCTGTCTGTTCTTTTCCTCACAAACAAAAGTCTGGTATTTAAGTGGAGAGGGGTTAAGGGGTGGCCCTTCATCCACCAAGTTTCGAACTGTGCCCACGTCCCTTGGAGATCTCTCCATCATCAAAAGGAAAATTACAGTTTTCTGCTTAGAAGAGTCGATTTGCATTTACCAGAATCATCCTTCCTTTTGGTACAAATATTATGGTGTCATGTACTGGTTGGTAGTGTCTTTAATTTTGATGTCGTTCTGTCTGCACCGTCCTTGAATGGCATCTTACCCTATGCATATAGTCTCAGTGATGTGCAGGTGCCTTCTAGTTCAGAGTTCTGATGAGTGACTAGAGAAATACAGTTTAACACAGACTTGTTAAGGATAAACATTGTGTTGCTCTATCTGATATGCATTTTGCTTTTTCAGGCAAGACCATTATTCAAAGACAGGAAAAAATTCTACAAAATGGCAGATCCAGCACTTGATGGTCACTATCCAATAAGGAGCTTATACCAAGCTCTTGCAATTGCTGCAATGTGTGTCCAGGAGCAACCTAATATGCGTCCTCCAATTGTTGATATCGTCACTGCTTTGAGCTACCTTGCCTCCTTAAAGTATGACCCTGAAATCGAGCCTCCTATCCGGAAGTCATACAAAAGTCAATCTCCTCAGAAATCTATAAACAATGAAGAAACCTGGTAATGTGGTGATGGAAATGATACAACAAAGCTTGAGGACTAAAATAAGAACTGAAACACACACAAATAGAAGTGGTTGTCAACTTTTTTGTGTCATATGTAAACTACAGATGCAGCTTTAAAATCATAGATTGGACATAATAATAAAAAATAAATAAAAATGCCTCCTTTGCATATCTGGTGCAAATGCAAGCTCCAGTGCATAGCATATATAATATGTAAAAGTTCTATGCTTCTATGATATACTGAGAAAAAGTAATCAGCTTAGAAGTGTTAGCAAGAACTAATTAAAGCCAATACACATATATTTTCTACTAGCTATTCCAGTGTAGTACAAAATGCTTGGCGATATGCAAAAGAGAAGGAAGATATGGATCTCACATAAATGTATGGAAAAAATCCTACTTTCTGCTAGCTAAGCTAATGAATGGAAAAATCATATTGAAAATTTAATGTAACATTTTCACAACAGATGATGAGATAGGAATCATCAGGTGCTATGGTTCACGTGTCTGGGCTCTGTCATTGTAATCGAGGCTGATTGGAGGAAGGTCGGTGTGAGACTCGAGACTGATTGTTACAGATGTCTGTTATGATGAAAACATTCAGAAATAGTTGTTTCTAATGATCATTGCAACTATACTTACAAGTCATTCTCTTCATTTCTCTATTCCCTTTGTTCCTAATAATCTTTTTGAGTACTTAAGGATTACAGTTTTTGATATTGATAAGATTGCAAAGTCACTTGAAAACACATATATTTATCAGACACATACTGTCTGGGCATACACATATAGGAACCAAAAACTAACATTTTGACATTTCCTCTTTTTCTTTTTTATTAAGAATCGGAGTGACAAAGGTCTAAATTTCAGTGGATCGTTGTAGGCAAGGCCACTTCAATGATCCACTACTATCAACATTTGAAGGTTATGATTTTTAAAATTAGGATACATCAATATCATTAATAAGGATGTTTCATACTGCTGACTGCTGTCGATATCTTTTAACAGTGTTTCTGAGAGCATTTGCTGGACCGTGCTTCGATAGGAAATCAGCTTTTCATGCAGTTAACAGACTTATGCTGTGAAAAGAATGAATATCTATATATGTTGGTTAAACTTGTATTGCAAATACTAGCCACTATTAGTCGTGACTCTAGTGTGGGCTCTACAGTAGTAGTACTATTTCTGCAAAATTACTATGAATCTTCTGTATCTCAACTTTCTCCTAATCAACATCTATTGATACAAAAAAACAGAAGGAAGTGAAAAAACTATAGCCTCCCTCCTTCCAACAGCTACATTTCACTCGTTTCGCCTGCTCTGCAATTGCCTACCCAAATGTACAAATAGGAGTTGTTTGATGGTAGAACTTTACAACAATCCCTTCTTGCTGCCTGCAAAACAGAACAAAATCCACTTAGTAATAGTCCTTTTCAGATCAATATTCAGAAATGGAGTTGTTTTAACAAATTTACCTTCTGCCAACGGTTATCATCTGGCTTTTTCAACACTACAATTGCATTGATACTCTCAGGTGACTCAATTTTCCATCTGCAATAAGGGTACGACTCTCTATGACGATGGTAAATCCCAACGATCTGATTCTTGCTTCGATCATATTTGGCTGCACTTATGTAGTACACGAAAGGCTTCTGGCACGGGTGCTTTGTCACGGGCCTAGTGTTGAATGCATAGGCAGTGTAATCAGCTCTTTTATACCAGTTGAGAAATGTTCTTGTGGGCATTTCTAATTCTCTTGGAGAGATATTACCCCTCGTGATCTGAACCACGTAGCCCCACGACACTGAAATAGACCAGTATTTCTGCTTGTCGTAGCAGATTGACTGCTGCATTATGCTGGCAGTGTCATATTTCATCGATTCAAAAACGCGTTGGAGTCCATCAATTCTGCTCATCCTTGGAATTATAGGATCCACAACATCAAGATGGTGAATTGATACTAGAGGTGTTACAGGATGTGCTCCCAATAGGCCTAGCAAATTCCCGTACACATCATACTATACAGTACAAAAAAAATTCGTCAAAATCCAGTAAGAAGTACTTTTAATTGAAGATGTGACAGTAAAATGATACTCCCCCGTTTCAATTTGTTAGCCTTACTTTCTTTTTAGTCTGTTTAAAAAAGAATGTCTCATTCCTTTCCTGGTCTCTCTTTACTTTCAATTTTCCACTTGGCATGCTTAAGACCACAAGATTAAAGAATATTTTTATACAGTGCACATATCTTTAGATTTAAACTTTTTGTCAGTCAAACAAATTGAAACAGAGGGAGTCATAGTTATAATAATATTCATGGCTCCTGGACTAAATGTTGGAGTAGCATAGTACTAGTAACTAGTAATGCATGAAACTTTGGTTATGAACAAGATTTTGACTATAGAGTATTTTAACCTGTTGTTACTTATCCCACTTTTATATGAACTGTTACCTGTAATTATCTTTTAGGTGACTACGTGATCATTTTTAATGGACGGTTACCTGATGAAATCCAGGTTCTCTTGTAAGGGGGACCCCGAGCTCAGCCATACAAGCTTGAATTCTGTCATCACTACCGTATAATCCAGGATATCGTTGAAGGCATCGATCTTGAATTTTCTCCAATTCTTTTGCCAATGGATAACTAATAGCAAATCCACCTCCACCATAAGCCATGGCATATGAGAAAAAAATATTCTGAATATGACTTTCTGAAGAACTTCCAATGTAATAATACTGATTATGATCATATTTTGAAAGAACTCTAACAACATTATCGACATTAAACACTGTATCATCATCTCCCATTACGAACCATCTCACATTTTTAAGTCCCAACCTTATAGTCTCCGAAACAACCCTGGATATCCTCAGAGCCGATCTGTTCCCCTGTCGATTCGTGTACAAGAACTTAGTTGTGTTCTCAGAAATTCGAATTTCAGGCAAATCTTCATTTTTCTTGATTGTAACATTTTTATCTAACCAAACAACACCTCTCATTTCCCCTGGCCTCCACCATAATTTAATATACTCTTTCCTTTTATCCCACAAATTTGTAGACGCGGCGATCCCAAATACAATGTGTTTGAGCCCTGTTTCAGGGTCCCCTGTATTTTCTTGAACAGAAAGGGAAGTCGAATTTTCAGTTTGAGGGAATGTTGTGGAAATTGATTCTTTTGTGGATAATTCTGATGAGGAAGACAAAGAATTGGTACATTCAGGGGAATCTTTATTGAGAATTAAATAAAAAGAGTAAAGAAGATAGATGATTAATAATGTGATGAATAACCAAGTTACAGTTCTGCGAAGATTGCTTAGGCCACGTTGAGAAGAAGCAGATGTCATTATTGTTATAGATAAAACGTCGAGTCATTAAGTTTGTTTGTTTTTTCGAGTTTCTAAGTGTTATGGTAGTACATGCCATCATGTCTCAGTACTTGAGATGAATTGCGGTAGAGTAGGAGGAAGAAAGAAAGTGAGTGATGGAGAAAGAGGTTCCATTGAGAGGAAAAGAGGGATTTTCTCTACTTTACTTGGTATGAATTTGTTTAAGTTTTACGTATTGACGATATAAAAAAGTAATGTTTACATAATTAAGTCATTTGGAAGATAATTATAGATAAATTTTTATGATAAAAATGTTAATATACCGTCAATGTATTTCCACTGGTTAAATCAATGTATTCAAGTTTGTATTTTCCATAACGAATTCATCACTGACTTAATATTAACGATCCAACCTGATAATAGGAAATCCGATCATTGACTGAATGAACTAATGCCTATATTGAAGACCTTTGTTGACACGGATGGATGCTCAAAGAAATCGTTTATAAATAGATTAAAAAGAAAAATGTGTCTCATATAATAAGTCAAGTAAGATATTCACTTATAATTACGTTATAAAATTAAACTGTGCAAATATTTTTATCCCATGAAAATCATTCCTTTTTATGCACATAAAAACTAGCTAGTATAGTACTCTATGTTTAGGTGGATTCATGATTTTAAATTAGTGGTCATAAGCTAACAATTTTATGATCACTTAAGACTTAAAGAGGTATCATTCAACTTTTTCAAAATATAAGATACTTTGATGGTAACAATTAGAAAGTCTCTTTTTTTCAATGTTAATGTTTAATTTAACATAAAAATGTATTTTGGTATATGATATGCTTTGTTGAAAGGGAAAATTACGCGATTAAGCAAACTTATACTACTTAATTAGTCATCATAGCTATAGTATGTTGTAATTATCATTCGCGACTAACATTAGCTATTAATTACATGGGATGGGTTCAAGTTTGTATAATTAGCCACGTTTGTATAATTCGCCATGTTTGTATAATCCGCAACTAACAGTTCTTTGTTTGATTTGTATTTGTATATAATGATTTGTGTTTGTATATGACGGTGATTTCTTTTGATTTTTCAGTTTTATCACCAAATACATTCAATCTTTTTTTGTATAACTTTTTAAAGTTTGTATAAATGTTTAGTTTTCGTATTTTGTATAATATAACTTATATAATGTAATTTGTATAATATAATTTGTATAACTGTTTAAAGTTCATATGTTTATGTTTGTATAAATTCTTTATTTCGAGTTTTATCATATTTTTATAAGGAAAAAATACAGAAATCCCACATTTTAGTTTACTTATTACCATTATCACCTATAAGTTTTACAAATCTCCAAAATCTCTCATTTCCGCGCATCTGATTAGTGTATCTCGCGCATCAGATTAATGTATCAGCGCTTATATTATTGTATCTCGCGCATCAGATTAGTGTATCATGTATCGTATCTCGCGCATTAGACTAATGTATCAGCGCTTATATTATTGTATCAATTTGAGGGATTTCTGTAATTATAAACTTTTTAGTGTATCATGTATAAAATGTACATCAGATTAGTGTATCATGTATAAAATGTATGTATCTTACTTAACGATTAATGTATCTTGCGCATCAGATTAATGTATCAGCATTTATATTATTGTATCCGTTTGAGGGATTTCTGTAATTATAAACTTTTAAGGGATAAATTGTAATTTTGCCTTAAAAGTATGTGATTTCTGTAATTTGCCCTTTTATAATTTCTAGAATTTGTATTACTCAACTACACAAAATACACACGAATTATACAAACGTACCTGTGAGTTATACAAACGAGATGCGAAAGATACAAATTATTGCCCTCTCTCCTCCCTCTCCCAATCTCGCTCGCCTCCCTTCTCCCCTAACATGTAGCTACGAATCGTAATTATCAAAATATAACTATAGAGCCTAATTAAGTTATTATGAGTGGCTATATGTGAAAATTTTCCTCGTCAAAATATGTGTAGAGTCCATTTAAACTGGATCACGGCCCAAACACAAATTATCTCTAGTGAGCTGGATATGCCATTTGTACAGTACAAAACGTCCAAACAAATTGAAGTGGATAACAAAAAAATAATTTTACGACTACAAGGGGAAAATTGTTACATTTCACAACATTATTATCTAATATTTGTTATGTATTTTTTAAGTATATACACTGGCCGCAGCTACTATATAGTATTTATTACGATGAGTGTGAAATTTATTAGTTTCTGTCTATAGGTATAATATATGATTAAAAAAGGGGGTTTTGAGTGAGGGACTCACGAGGATTTCATCATTCATGCCACTCATAACTTTTAAAATAATAGTAATAATAAACTATGGTTGTCATTTACTTTCATAGCTACAAAGTGGCTGTTATCTTATTATAATATATATTCATTTCGAGTAGTTGTTTTTATTATTATTATTATTATTATTATTGTTATTATTATTATTATTATCATTATTGAAAGTTGAAAATAATTCTTCCAATTTAAATGAATGGAAGCTAACATAGTCGTCTTTTGGAGCGCCTTACTGTAATTCTCCAGGATGCTACTTCTTTGTTCATTTTTATTAGTCTTGTTTCGCTTTAAAAAAATCAATTTAATTAATTTTTGAAGATAAATTAATTAATCTTTTAAGATATTAATTCTATAAATCATCATCACAAACCATCTCCATATCGTCAAAAAAACAGACCATTTTATTGACAACTCCTTGTACATTAAGATTTTTATTTTATTTTATTTAAATTTTATATTTTAATTTTAAAAGTAAAACTTAATTATATGCATTTCTTTGCTTAGAAAATAAATCACCTCTTCATTATTTACTATTCAAATTTAGAGAGAGTAGCTTAAATCATATACAATACTGTCAATGTCTATAATGTGACCAAAATGATATTCCACGTAAATCTACTTAGAATATAATTTTTATAACTTTGAAAATAAGATAAGTTACTTAATTATAATAGGTAAAGATGACATGATTGCGTATAGAAATTTCATGTTGTGTAATAACTTAAACTTTTTAATAATTAAATATATATGGCGAAATGACTTAGGAGACCCTATACTTGGCTCGAATTGTCAACTGGACCCTTCTGCTCATGATTTTGCCAACTGAACAATTCAACTCAATGAAACACAATCTTTTAAAACCTTTTTGACTTCACGTGCACGTCAAACACACAATGAAAATGACATGTCATGATCCACATCAGACTTTTAGTGACACGTCACTTATTTTTTCTTTATTTTAAGAAATTTTAATTTTTTTCTTTTCACTTATTTTTTACTTTACTTAAAAATTTCATTTTTTTTCTTTTTCACTCCGTTTCTTCCTCACACTAACTTTATCCTTGACCATCTCCCTCCATTTTTTCCACCAAAGACACCATTGCCATCTTACATCCGTATTCCTTATTGATTATCACTACCTTAAATAACTAAAAATGATCATTGTTCTCCAAGTTTTCATCGTTCATAACTTTTCGTCATATTTTTTTTTACCAAGGTCTTCATCCACCACTTGAACCATTGTGAATCTATTAATTTCCTCCATTAATTTCAATGAACCACACTAAAATATCTTAATATGTTTTAATATATATACATGTGCCACTTAATTTTACAAAGACATACAATAATCATTCTTCACTCTCCAAAATAATCAGATCTATATCACCTAGCCTCCTATAAATTACCCCTCCCCATTCCCTCAATAGCTTCTCTTCATATATTTTTATCTCACAAAGACTGAAGCAACTACTTCTAGAAAAGAATTTCTGAAATACTTTTGCAAACATATTAAAGATTATAAAAATGGGGAAAGAGTGCAAGAAAGAAAAATGGGGACTAGGTGGGACGGGGGGAAACGATAGTGGTGTTGGGTAGGAAAGAAAAGAAAAGGAAAAATTGTATAAAATATCAAATATTAATTCAAATTAAATGTTATAACTACAGTTTGATTTAATTGTAACCTGTAGCAAACAGTTGTCATTCGCCAGTCTCCCCAGATTTCTCGCTCGCCACTCTCTATTTCTCGCTCGCCAATCTCTCCCTCACCTCTCTCTTTATACAAACACAAATGTATAAAATGTGTTTGTGTTTGTATAAAGCGAGAGAAAACTGTATATACAAATACAAATACATATATTTTCGTCCTATACACTTATAATTATACAAATACAGATCTTCCCCTGCCCAGTTCTCTTTTGCATTTCTCTCTTTCTTGCTTTATACAAACACAAATTATACAAATTACAAAAAATCAAATTTTATGCAGATATACAAACACATAAAATTGAATTGAGAGGCTGCCAACGATTTATAGAAACGAGAGGCTGCCAACGATTTATACAAATGAGAGGCTCCTAGCGATTTATACAAAAATTATACAAACTATAGCTATAGCATACAAATATGATTTTTATGTTTGCTAAACCTAAAATTTACTCAAAAGAAAATGGGGAAAAGAAAATTTGTCTTTCTATTTATTTTTTCTTTTCTTTTAATTAGTTTTAGTCTCATTTTTTTTTCTGTTTACGCTACTTTAACGTGTGAGATCACACGTTTGTTCCACCTCGACTATTAAAGTTGCCACATAAGATTGGTCAACGGTCAGAGGGATTTAAAATATTATGTTTCATTGAGTTTAATTAAGTGTTCAATTGGCAAAGTCATGAGTAGAAGAGTCTAGTTGACAATTTGAGTCAAGTATAAAGATCTCAGGTCATTCCACTGATATATATTTCAACCGTTTTATTTGAGATAAATAGTACAATACCGGGCAATGACGTGCTTGTTCAGTCCTTTATACAGACTTCCTTTTTTTTTACCATCATTTTTTTCAATATGATCATCATGTTATCTAGGAAATTGTGTCGACGTAAATATTTTTTGACACTCTCCAGCATTGGTGAGCCGCATTCAAGTAGGGATATTTATATGATATCGATCCCTTATTCA